GAAGGGGTACCAGCATCTACATTTTCCCCACCACTAAATACAAGCATTCAATTAACCACACGCTAACACAACACAAACACAAGAATTCCTTCTTCCCTTCCCTTTCTTCTCCCTTTGGTCTTTCTCTTAACTATTCTCCTGGTTGGTAACTCTTCTGTTTTCTGGGTAACACCATAAAATTAGAGACAGGCTCGATTTAATAACAGAGATAACCATGCAATAGCCAAGCACGGCCATGTCTTTTTCTTACTTCTAGACCAATGGCAAGGTCCCACGCTGCGCCGACCCAGGTTCCTTCACCTCTTGACCCCTGTGTCTCCTGTAGATGGAGTAAATGTATTAAAGGAGGCAAGTCTACTATTTAAAAACCTTAGTTCAGAAAGATGTGTTACAATTCAGTTGGGCCAAGCGTCGGTCCCCAGGGCCACTCTGATACCAAGTGGCAGGACACTGTGAGACAGAAATGAGAGAAACGCGGCCAGGCCACTATTGCCAACAAGACAGGAAGGCATCTTTATTGGCCCTAAGCCCAGCTCTCTGGCTCAAGCCAAAAGGAGCCAGCACCGATCAGAGGTGAGCAGGCGCTCAGCTTAACAAAGGAAGCAGCACGCTCTCATTGACTTGGGGGCGGCTAAAGTTTAGTATTTGTCTATTAATTTCAGACACGGTTTCAAAAGATGCTCTTCCTCTTATGCATCTTGGCCTTGGCGGGCTAAGGGGTAGTGACGTAAGCCAGAAACAGCTGTACTTCCTGCTGCTGGCTGGCATGGTCTGACGTAGGGTGAGACAGGTGTTGGAGATAATGAGCTGCTGAGAAGGCACAGGGAGGGCAGAAGAAATGAAGCAGGCCTCTACTCTGATGGGAACAGTCCAAGTTCACTCTTCGTTACAGCGTCAGGAAAAACATTTCTCGAAAGATCCACATGGCTGTGCATAGGGCTTCACGGAGTCTGACTCAAAGGGTGAGACGGCAAAGAAGAACTTAAAGACAAAGACCAAGTCTTTACCTATTCCAGGTGGCCATCCAACGTCTGCGGCATCTAGTGGTCGGCGCTTCGGGCAACATCCTCAGAAGCCACCTAGGCAACTGTTAGAATCCGTACATCAGACTGTTATCAAAGTGAATGGGAAACTAAGGGTTATCGTTCAGCTGTGTGACTTCTAACATGAGTGATTTTTAAGTTAACCACGAACAAGTGAATCTACTGGACCAATCTGGGTGTTCCTTCTTGTCTTTATTGGCCTTTTATGTGGCTGTCTCAAACCATACAGGCTTTACCTTCATCTAGTCATAAGACGCTCCCACTCTGCAAACACCTCTGGTCTATGGCCTAAGCTGGTACTGATGACAAAGCTGTTGAGAGTACAGGGATGGGGGTACAGAAGAAAATACATACTGAGCTTTTAATAGCAGTGATGCTTAGTACTGGTTGTCAGTGTAACAAGATCTGCAGTCACCTAGAGACAAGCCTCTGGGCATGTCAGTGAAGGAGTTTCTAGATTGGGTTACTTCAGGTGGAAGAAATGTGGGTGATACCATCCCATGGGCTTGGGTCAAGACTGCTTAAAAAGGGAAAGTAAGCTGAGCATAAGCTCTCTGGTTTCTGCCTGAAGACAGTGTGACCAGCTGCCTCAAGATCCTACAGCCCTACCTTTCCCCATGACGGGCCGCACCCTGGAACTGTGAGCCAAATGGGCGCTTCCTTCCTTAAACTGCTTCTGTCAGATATTTTGTCACAGCAGCAAGAAAGGCGTTAAAATGAAAGGTAACAAGTCAGGCTGGAGGCATGGCTTAGCAGATAAGAGCATGTATTGGTCTTGCAGAGGGCCTGAGTTCAGTTCCCAGCACCCACATCGGGCAGCTCACAACCAAGCACCTGTAACTCCAGCTCCAGGGGGATCCAGTGCCCCTAGGCTTTGTAGGCACCTGCACTCATGTGCACATATTCACACATAGACACATGCAGATACATAACTAAAAATAATAAAACATATCTTTGTGATTAAAATGTAGCAAGTTAAGGAGCCAGAGCTTGTGTGTCTTTGGTCCCTTGCCATGCTCTCCACCTGTCTGGACCTGCGTGCAAAGAGGGTGGGAATTCCCCACCCCAAGAAGGACAGGGTTGGGGGTCAGCAGACCACCTCCCCAGGCTGCCTAGAGTTCCATCACTTCACTCCTCAGCCTGGGGCTTACAGAAAGCTGCTAAGCCAGAAAGTGGGGTAAAGCACCCTGGGGACAGGCTCCTTCCATGACACACCTGAAGTACGATGTCACCTTTCATGACAGTATCCTGAAGACCGCTGAGAGGCAGCTGATCTACAAACCCCTCCTTCCACTTCCAGACCCAGATAGACAGGGGTTCAGGGTGGCTGTGCATAGTCAGTATCAGGCAGTCTGTCCATAGTCAAGGCCACAATATGCTCCAGGCTTGCTGGGGCCACTGCAGACTTCTGCAGACAAAGCCTTCCCAACCTGCCATGCTTTGATCTCAGTGGTCATCCAGGTGGACTCCCACTGAGAGACCACTGAGGGCAAAATTAGCAGCCAGAACACAGAGGTGACCATCCAGGATCAAAAGTGTCCTTCTATGTAAGGGTGTTAGCAGGGGGCAGAGATGGGACTCTCTACCCTTCTAGCCCCTCCCTACCTGTCCTCCACTCCAACACTTACATCAGTTCTAAGAAGAAAAAAAAGCAAATTTTCTCATTTACAAATGAAGGGCTATTGAGGGCAATGATCTAAAAGTCAAAGCTATCAAACCACACAGCAGGCTCTGCAGATCAGATGCTTTCCTTTCTTTGGATAGAAACAGAAAAACAGATCCCTGCAATTGATTTTCAAGGCGACTAATCAGCCACAAGCAAGGTTGGTCCATAAGTTAGGTGGGTACCACTCAAGTCCTAGCCCTGGCTATTTTCTTATTCAGATAAATGATGTTTTCTCAGCAGACCGCATTTCTCCTCTAACCAAGAGGAAAACAGAGCTACCACAAAGCAAATACATGACACAGCCCAAAGACCAGCATGAAAGCCTGGGGAAAGGAGCTGGTTATGAAACTTTTAGCAGCTCTGAAATCATTGGCTAAACAAGTAACTTCATGCAGTGGTTTCTGCACATTTAATAGCAGAATCGGTTCCAAAATTCCCTTTGTACTCAGACTCTAAGAGAACTTTCCTAATGTGTTGTTAACTAATGCAATCTTCATGAAGGCCATCAGGAAGAAATAGCTACACACGCCAAAGTGCAGATGCTAAATGCTGAGGCAGAAACCAAAGCAAATGTGTGAATGCACAGAGAGAGAACATTTCTCTACACTTCTTTTTTAACCTTGGCATTGAATCAACCATTTAAGTATGACGCATGCATCCTTAGCAGCAAAAACTAGAAAAAATTTTAAGCCCAGAAATTTGAGCAATAGTTTAAAGAACTTGCTCAAAATTCTTGCCCTATATATAGAGAGCAATAAAAAGAGTCATTTGTTACAAAAGGATGTTTATGACATGTCCCATGTGGGCCGTGTCACCCTGTGGTTTCATTTCACCTGTTTAATATTTTGTTCATTTTAATTTCATATGTATAAGTGCATTGCCTGCATGTATGTTAAGTACACCCATGTCATGCAATGCCCACAGAGGTCAGCAGAAGACATCTGGTCCCCTGGAACTGGAGTTACAGATAGTTGTTAGCTGCCATGTGGGTGCTGGGATTCAAACCCAGGTCCTCTGCAAGAGCAGCCAGTGCTCTTAACCACTGAGCCATCTCTCCAGTCCCTTCATTTCACCTTTTAACAACCCCATGAGTTGGGTCCTATGGCCATTCTGTAATTGAAGAAATGGAGGCTCAGTGAGTTCAATAGCGTTATCAGTCCATTCAAGCTTCTATAACAGAGGCCCACACACTGGATGACTTAAACAACAGATGCCCATTGTCTTACTACTCTGTTCTAGAGGCTGGAAGTTCAAGGTCAAGGTGCTGGTTGGGTTAGTTTCTAGAAGGGTCTCTCTGGCTTAGAGACGGTGTCTTCTCGGTGTCCTTATACGGCCTTCCATCTGCTCACTTGCATCTGGTATGTCTTCCTCTTCCTCTAAGGACATGTACCCTATTAGATTAGGCCTCCGTCTTTTAACTTGAAATTGTTTCCTTAAAGGCTTTCATTTGCCACTTTTCTCATTGCTGTTACAAAATGCCCAAAAACAGCAACTTGGAGAAGGAGCTTCTTTTGGCTCACAGTTTGAGGATATGGCCAGGAAGGCATCCGCAGGGGCAGGAGGTGGTTGGTCATGCTGTACCATGGTCAGGAAGTAGAGAGAGATGAACACTGGTGCTCAATTCCCTTTCTCCTTTTTGTTCAGTCTGACGACACCCCAAGTCCATGAGGATGCTGCCTACATTCGGTGTGAGTCTTCTCAGTAAAATTTTGCTGAAAACATCCTCATAGACACACCTAAAGATGTGTTTCCATGGTAACCCTAAGTCCAATAAATTGACATGATTACCATCACAAGGTTTCATCCTTAAAGACAGTCAGACTGGGTGGGGCATCAACTATGGGTTTGGGGATGGCATGGTTAGGTTTGTCACAGTAGATAGGAGCCTATATTGGTAAGCGATTGAGCCAAGACTGTCTGAATACCAAGATGCCTTCCTTAAAGAGCTTGCTGCTTCTCCAATGCTTCAGCATCTCAGACAGAGTTGGGAGACATCGCACCAGGATAGCAAATGTAGTGGAAGCTTCAAGCAGGGAGCTGATGTCACAGCACTGAGCTCTATCCTGATAGGCTAAGCAGTAAAGGACTTGCACAAGCTAGGTCATGATGCACAGAGCGCAAATCAGCTGGGGCCTGTCCAGATGGCACTGAGTGAAAACGGCTCGTTAACCTAGTTGGTAGATGTACAAATGGTGTTTATCTGAGTTCACTGACATCTGCGAAGTATGTGATTCCATTATCCACGACCAGCGTTTCATGTGGGTTCTCTTTTCTTTTCTCCAAACTGCCAGCTAACGTCCTGGAGGGTGACTCCATGGACCAGGATGTGGAAAGCCCAGTGGCCATTCACCAGCCAAAGTTGCCTAAGCAGGCCAGGGATGACCTGCCAAGACACATTAGCCGGGACCGGACGAAAAGGAAAATCCAGAGGTACGTGAGAAAGGATGGGAAATGTAATGTTCACCATGGCAACGTGCGGGAGACCTACCGCTACCTGACGGACATCTTCACCACCCTGGTAGACCTGAAGTGGAGATTCAACCTGTTGATCTTTGTCATGGTCTACACAGCAACATGGCTCTTCTTTGGAATGATCTGGTGGCTAATCGCCTACATCCGGGGAGATATGGACCACATAGAGGACCCTTCGTGGACTCCCTGTGTTACCAACCTCAATGGGTTTGTCTCTGCTTTTTTATTCTCAATAGAGACAGAAACCACCATTGGTTATGGCTACCGGGTCATCACGGACAAGTGCCCCGAGGGAATTATCCTCCTCTTAATCCAGTCTGTGTTGGGGTCCATTGTCAACGCGTTCATGGTGGGATGCATGTTTGTGAAAATATCCCAACCCAAGAAGAGGGCAGAGACCCTGGTCTTTTCCACCCATGCAGTGATCTCCATGCGGGATGGGAAACTGTGCCTGATGTTCCGGGTGGGGGACCTGAGGAATTCCCACATTGTGGAGGCTTCCATCAGAGCCAAGTTGATCAAGTCCAAACAGACTTCAGAGGGAGAGTTCATCCCCCTGAACCAGACAGATATCAACGTAGGGTACTACACAGGGGATGACCGTCTGTTTCTAGTGTCACCGCTGATCATTAGCCACGAAATTAACCAACAGAGTCCCTTCTGGGAGATCTCCAAAGCCCAGCTGCCTAAAGAGGAACTGGAGATTGTGGTCATCCTGGAAGGGATGGTGGAGGCTACAGGTAAGACAGCTTCTGCCTGGGTTGTCTCTGGGAAGTGCGTTCAGTCAAAACCATCTGATGTTATCTGATACAAGATATGGAAGAGTGAATCTTCCTCACCATTGACACCTTGCCTTGAACTGTTTTGGCTCTGGTTGTTAGAACCTTAAGTATATCTTCTGAGAAGTCTAACCATTTAGATTTCAAAGCTTTTTCAAAGCCCTTTTGAAAGTAAATTAATGAACAACAACAAAAAAAAATCCTGTGATATCTTAAATTTCCAAGTACTTCAAGTACTTGTAGAAATTAAATTTTGATCTATTGCTAAATCTTGTTTTGAATGACTTTAAAGCATTTCCCATTTAAATATTTGCAGTTATTTATTAGCAATCAATGGGCCAAAGTTAAACCTTTAAAAAACACAGAAAACAGAAAAGCTGCTTTAATGCTCCAGTCTCGCTCCCTGTTTGGGGACCAGTCACAAGACCCAGAGAACTGGGTGGGATTTTTTTCTCTCTTGTACTCAATGTCTCTCTACAGTCCGCCCGCCCAGCGTTCAGCTGAGGTTGTACTGCAGACCCAGAAACAAACTCTAGGAGAAAACAGAATTAAAGACTGCTTTGTCCCAGTCTTGACGACCCTTCTGCCATCAACGCTAACCATGGGTCTCTTTGAAGAGAGGTGGTATGTTCTCAGAACAGGGAAAACTGCTTTTACTGGCGTCTTCACTCACATCTGAACTTCATACATGTTCCATGTTCTAAGAGCAAAGCCTATGTTTACCTGTAGCATGGCACAAAATAGAGCCAGAAGCCCTGAGTCGGGCCGAAGACAATACCTCCCAGAAAGGTATTAAGCCAATTCCTAATGCCGTCAACTCCTCATAGTTCTGAGTCCTGGTTACCATGCCTGGGTCTTTTTTTCAAATACAGTCTGTCCTGTGTTTTGGGTCAGCCTGTATCATCTGAAAATGCATTCTCAGTGGGCTGTCCCAATTCTTCATTAACCTGTTAGTCTTTTTCAAAGGAAAGCCCCTAGTCCTGTGTTTCTGTCTCACTATGTCCCTGTCCTGACAGGAGGCAGAGTCATAACCACTACTAACTTGTTCTTATGATAGAGTGGCTTTTGCAGTAACTTTTTAAAATTTAGCAGACTAAAAATGTGAGCCAAGGGATTTGCAAGTGGCTCGGTGACCCAGCATTACCCTTTCCACAGACAAAAGAAACTTTAAAGCATGCCAACATATGGTCAGCCCTCTGTGTTTACAGACCCATACTTACAGGTTCAACCAAGTGTGAATCTAACACATTTTTTTAAAAGCATCTGTACTGAAGACTTACCTAGTTCTTGCCATTAGTCCCTGAATGCAGTACAACTATTCATCTATCACTTGTGTTATATTGGGTGTTACAAGTAATTTAGAGATAATCTGAAGTGTGTGGATGTGTGTAATGTCTATGCAAGCACAGCTGCTTTACAAGAAAGACTTGAGCATCTGTAGATTCGGGTGTCTTTGGGGAGTCCTAGAATCAATCCCCTCGGGATAGGAGAAATGATGGCCTATTTATCTCATACCTACTCGGGAGCCAGGTGCTGCACTGTAAGCCTGGTATGCAAAACTGAGGAGAAACCAGAAACTGATGGCTGACATGGGGTAAGAGCTCCAGTCAGCAGTGTGATAAGACGATCACACTCAGAAGCTTACTTCTGAGTCATGAGCACCTCCTTCCTAAAAGACTTCTGTACTTAGAACTGTGACTAGTGTGAAATACTAAACAGGTGCTGCCCATATTAGCAGAGCTATCTCTACCTTGAGCCTGGTGCTTTTGTGTTCCCTGGAGGCAGTTACTGAGCTAAGAAGATAGAAGAAAGGGAGGAGGGGGGTGAAAGAGGGGAGCGGAGAGAGAGGGGAAAGGAGGGGGAGGACAGGGAAGAGAGAACTGAGGAGAGGAAGGCGCCCCTTGAGACCAGGTAAGAGAGAACTGAGGAGGGGAAGGCCCCCCTTGAGACAGGGCGCTCTGTCACTTTCTAGCAGGGCAGCAGCATCTAGGGCCCGGCTGACAGAGAGCAGGGACTCTGGATCCCCCTAGTGGTGTCTGATGAGGCAGAGCATCCCACAGCCTCAGCTGACCATCCCCAGGGCTGCCTGTAATAGATTCTCACTGTGACTCGCTAAGCCTCAAGGGCCTGAGGTAGGCGGCTTGCTTCATCTCTAGCTGTTTGGCCCGGACACCAAGCCTCTGGCTCCCACTGCTAACCACAGCTCCAAATGGCAAAAGCTGAGCTCTGTGCTTCCTCCAGCCCAGCCTGGAAAGATAAATGAATCTGAGTAAGCAAATCAGCTTTGCAGTGTCCCAGAGCCATGGGTCCCCTGGGCCAGACCTTGTCTTTCCGATGACAGAGTGACTGGAATGAGACTATCTGAAGTGAGAAGCATCCTTTTTAAGGTAATTAACAGTGACACTTGCCTAGGAGCATTCTCTAGGTTCCTCGAGTTCTTAGCCACGCCTGGGTAGGTGCCAGCACAAAGAATCAAACTCTCCACCACCCTGAGGAAAAACAACCACCGCTACTGATTTTGTTTTAAAATTTATAATTTCCTGGGGCTGGAGAGATGGCTCAGTGGTTAAGAACACTGGCTGGTCTTGCAGAGGACCTGAGTTTGATTCCCAGCACTCACATGGTGGCTGTGAACCGTCCTTAACTCCAGTTCCAGGGGAATCTGAAACCCTCTCGTGACCTCCGCCGCATTGCACAACATGGGTGCACTCACGTGTATGCAGGCAATACATTCATACATATAAAATAAAACTAATAAATAAAATATTTTTTTAAATGATAATTTCCTGATTTCTGATTAGTAGAGGAAAGGTGTTCTAGAAACTTCTGGAGGTGTCTGGATATGCCTTGGTCCTTTCCACACAGGTTTCATATAGTTCAGTACCCCCAGTATAAACTGGCCTCTGAAGCTTCAACCAGACACCTTGTAAATTAAAAACCACAGTTAGGATTTATGGGCAATAAACAGCTCCTTAGGGAGAAAAAAAAATGCTTTACTATATCAAAGCCACAGGAAAAGAAAAATGTGCACTGGAGGAGAACAAATCTCAGAAAGTTCTGATTGTCCACTGAAGTGCAGGAGTGGGAATCAGGAGCCAGGAGGGGAAGGCGCTGACCCAGAACAGCTCCTCGGGGGCTCCAGACTTCTCTCAAAACCCTCTCCGTTGATGGTAAACAGCTGTTCAGGAGTCTCTAGATTAGTGGGTGCATCTTAGCAGGATCATCACGCTGCATTGGGACTCAGCATGACTTTGTTTTATTTTATTCTTTGGTAATTTGATACATGTGTGCAGTGTATTTAGATCAGAAGCACCCCCCAACTCTTTTCCTCCAACTCCTCCTGGACCGCCCACCACCACATCGCCCTCCCAACTTCCTGTCATATAGATGTAGATCCCACTGAGTCTAATTAGCGCTACACTGGAGCATGAGAGAGGCCACACCCCTGAAGAAAACTGACTCTCCCTCCCCCAGGCACCATCAATTGCCAATAGCTCCCCTGCTGGGGATGGGGACCCATGAACCCTCCACCATTCATGTCAGACTGTGGATTGGCTTGATCTTGTGCAGGTCTTGTGCAGGAAGTCACAGCTACTGTGAGCTCATGAGTACAATAGTCCTGTCACACCCAGAAGACACACCCAGTCCCCTCCTGACTTCTGGCTCTTACTTACAGTCTTTCCACCCACTCTTCCAGGATGTTCTCTGAGCCTTGGGAGGAGGGGTGCTATAGCTGTCCTATTTAGGGCTGAGCACTTCATAGGCATTTACTCTCTGCGCTTTGACCATCAACACACCCTTCTATTGTGTGCATCATGGGCACACAATGACCTTGATATGGTGTACTCTGGAGACCTGAGTTATCTTGCTGTGTTCTGAGCCCTTGAGTCTGCGGTCTGCTGGGAGCTCAGTGAGTGGGACAGGCAGACAGTTGCAGTGCAGGCAGTGAGTACTCTGTGGACACCTCTGTCCTAACACCAGATGCATTGCAGACTCTGTTTCCATCATTAGAGAGTGAAAGCGAGGGCAGGGGATGTGTCCCAGTTAGTAGAATGCTTGCCTAGCCATGCAAGAGGCTCTGGACTGGATCCCTACCACTACATAAAACCAGACACAATGGTACATGTCTGGAATCCCAACACTCCTGCCATGAAGCCAGGAGGATCTGGAGTGCAAGGTCATCTGTAGCTACACAGCAAATCTGAGGCCAGCCTAGGGTGTGAGACAAAAAAGAGGGAGGGAGGGAGGGAGGGAGAGGAGAGAAAGGGAGGCAGGAGAGAGGGAAGGAGGGAGAGAGAGGGAGGGATGGAGGGAAGGAAATGTTTAGTTTGCCTCTGTCATGATAAAACACTCTGACCAAAAACACCTTGGGAGGAAAGGATTTATTTGACTTCTATGTGTGGACCACAGGGAGATCAAGGCAGGGATTCAAGGCAGGAACCTGGAGCAGGAGTAAGGCCATGGAGGACACTGCTCACTGCCTCGCTTTCCCTGGCTGGCTCAGCTACCTTTCTTATATAGCCCAGGCCACCTGCTCAGGGAAGGCACCATACACGGTGGGATGGGCCCTGGTACATCAATTAACAATTAAGAAACAGTCTAATGGGGGTAATTCCTCAATTAAGTTTCCCTCTTCCCAGGTGTCTCTAGCTTGTGTCAAGTTGGCAAAAAGCTAACCAGCACAGGAGGGGGAGGGGAGAGAGGGAGGAAGGAAGGAAAGAAGGAGGGAGGGAGGGAAGGAGGGAAGGGGGAAGGAAGGAGGGAAGGAGGGAAGGGGGAAGGAAGGAGGGAAGGAGGGAAGGGGGAAGGAAGGAGGGAAGGAGGGAAGGGGGAAGGAAGGAGGGAAGGAGGGAAGGGGGAAGGAAGGAGGGAAGGAGGGAAGGGGGAAGGAAGGAGGGAAGGAGGGAAGGGGGAAGGAAGGAGGGAAGGAGGGAAGGGGGAAGGAAGGAGGGAAGGAGGGA